GTTGAGTTCACTGGCTTGTTAGTGTAGCGTAGTGGCTCTCTACGTATATCAGTGGCATTGTGTTTCAGCATATTCAGGCAGATGTAAATGCCTCATTAAAAACTGCTTCTGTTCCTGAGACTTTTCTTTTTCCTCTAAAGCATGTCGACGATGAGATTTCCATTAATATTTGTGTCTAAGAACACTGAGGACTGTGTGTCAAACCGAGAATCTTATCAATACTGACTCTGCAATGATTTGAGAAAACCAATCCATGTCTCTCTCTCTCTCTCTCTCTCTCTCTCTCTCTCTCTCTCTCTCTGTGTGTGTGTTTCTATCTCTCTTTCGTCCTCTCTTTCTGTTTCTCTCTCCTCTCTCCCTTTTCTTTCTCTCTGTCTCTGTTTCTCTCCCTCACTAACTTTTTCTCACTCCCCATATATTTTTCTTCATTTTTCCCTTTCGCTCCTTTTTTTCTCCTTTTCTCTCTCTCCCTCTCTTTTTTATTTCTTTTTGGCTCGCTCTCTCCCCCTTCTGTCCATCATTTTCTATTTCTCTCTCTCTTCTCTCTCTCTCTCTCTGTCTCCCTTTTACTCTCTTTGTCTCTCTCCCTCACTAACTTTCTCTCACTCCCTATATAATTTTTCTCTCTCTATTTCACTTTCACTCTTTTTTCTCTTCTTTTTATCTCTCTCCCTCTCTCTTTTTCTCTCTTCTTCTTTTTCTGTTTTCTCTTTTTTCTCTTTTGCTCCCTCTCTCCCTCTCTGTCCTTTTCTCTTTTGCTCTCTCTCACACACACTCTCTCTCTCTCTCTTTTCATATCTATTTCACACACTTTCTCTCCAATGCTCTCATTTTTTCTCTTTCTTTTTCAGTCTCTCTTTCTTTCTCTCTCTAAATATTTTGCTCTCCTTTTCTTTAAATTTTTCTCTACGCTCTCTCTCCTTCTCGCATTCTCTCTGTCCCTCTTTTTTCTCCCTCTCTGTCTTCTCCTCTCTCTTTCTATCATTCTCTCCCTCTCTCTCTCTCTCTCTCTCTCTCTCTCTCTCTCTCTCTCCTCCCTCTTATCCCATCCTTAGGCCACTCAAACACTCGTTTATTCTCCCATCATTGCGTGTATCCAGAGGAAGTCTGGCGGTCTCTGTGCTCTGTGCTATGCACACAAACGCACTGTGAGTCTTATCAGGCTGGTGCAGAGAGCTGGATCTGAGCTGACTGTGGGCAACACGTAATGAGGCTCCAAAACACCACAGCTTCACTTTACCAATTAAACCCCACAGCTCCACAGCACAATCCCCTCAGCCCTGGGGTTAACCCCTCACATGCAGAGAGACAGAGAGAGACAGAGACAGAGAGAGAGAGAGAGTGAGAGAGACAGAGAGACAGAGAGAGAGGAAGAGAGTCATTTTAAATAGCGTTTTGTCTCATCCTGATCTTTACTCGTTTAAAATTACAACTGTAGTTTCATCCGTGTGATTCTCTGGGAATTTTTGGAGCCCAAGCCCAGTGAGTTATGTAAGAGTGCATATTATTATATAAAACAAATTTGGGCTTTCCTCAACCCTTGCAGACCCTGCCCATCCAGCTATTCTTCTGACACCAAGGGTATTAACGGCCCGTATCCTACATTTTTTAGATTTTATTTTTCATCCCTGAGGTTGAATATGATGTAACATTATGATGTATGTGTAGTTTTATTTACTAAAAAACAGTCATAATTATTTTTTTCATGACCATTTTCCAATTTCTTTTTGCCCCTTAGAATTAAATAGGCTGTTTTGGTTACTGTGCCTTTAAGACTGCTATATGTAAATGAGTTCTGTTCTGGTTCACTGCGCTGAATTATGTCTCCTTCAAAAAGCTTTATAGCTTTAGTTTGAATGGGCAGAGCTAGACTGCTGTAGGCTGAATAGGTGGATATACACCAACAAAATAGGAGTGTCTAATAGAGTGGACAGTGAGTGGACACAGTGTTTAAAAACTCCAGCAGCACTGCTGTGTCTCATCTTCTCGTACAAGCACAACACACACTAACACACCACCACCACATCCTTGTATCCATGAGTGTGGATACAAGGATTTGTACTTAATGAAGTGGCTGGTTCGTGTTGGTCACAGGACGCTGTTGGCTGGATATTTTGGTTGGTGGACTATTCTCAGTCCAGCAGTGACACTGAGGTGTTTAAAACTCCAGCAGCACTGCTGTGTCTGATCCACTCTTACCAGCACAACACATTACAATGCAACCACATCAGTGTTACTGCAGTGCTGAGAATGATCCACCACCCAAATAATACCTGCTCTATGGTGGTCCTGTGAGGGCACTGACCATTGAAGAACAGCCTTTACCCTTCTGGGAAGGCTTTACACTAGATGTTGGAACATTTGGGTTTGATTGTATTCAGCCACAAGAACATTAATGAGGTCATAGTGATTGTTGGATGATTTGTTCTGGATCACAAACGTCACTCCAACTCATCCCAAAGGTACCGGACGGAATATCATCACTCCAGAGAACACAGTTCCACCGCTCCACAGCCCAGTGCTGGAGGGCTTTATACACCTCTTGCGGACACTTAACACTGGGCATGGTGACTTCACGTGTGACTGCCACAGATCTTCTCATTCTATTACCAAATCTTTCCTATAGAGGTTATACAAATTGTTTGTGTGCACAACTGAACACCTGTGTGAGCATTGGGAGCACCTCAAAAGAGCTGAATTCACCCATTAGAAGAGGTGTCTGGACTTCTGGACACTTTTATTCCTGGGTTACAGCAGCTACAGTCATACAGAAAGATTTGGAAATGTCTAACAAAGTGTGTGTGTCCAAATGAAACTTCATACTGTTCATTCAGTCCCACAATTCATAAATTGAATTCATTTACAGAGATTCTCACGTTATCTGCTTAAATTCTGTGCCATCCAGCTTCAACACTTTATTGAAAGTCTCCTCTGTGCCTCCTGATTAGATGCTAAATGAAAAGCATTAATATAAGTTCAGTTGCAGTGACTCTCCTTTCATCATAAAATTGGCATGAATTGGCAGAACATTTCAACTAGTTGTCTATTTTTAAGTCCACTCTCACACACGTGCCTTCACTGCATTTTTAAAGTGCCCTCCGGATAGTTCTAGACAAGTGATAGTTCAACACTCAGACCAAATTATAGTCTCAAGGACATTACTCCATTAGCATGACTCATACATATTCACAATTCATCTCCGTAAATTCATTCCAGCGTGATATTTGTATCTTGTTGATGGAGCTGATAGTGACCAATTCAAAATGCTATCTGGCCACAGCATGCACTAAAGAGGCCTCATATTAAAGGTGCAGTAAATGATTCTAGAGAACAACTGTTGATGTTTAAACTCAACAGCAAAACAAATACACCCCTCCCTTCAGTGCTCCTTCAGAAGTTCCACACCCCAAATTCATTGATGTGCATTGCCAAGGTGAACGACACTGGGCTAGCAAACTTTTTGTTTTTTAGATCTTCATAGCCATAAAATGAAATAGAGAGGGCCTAATTAACCTTCTGCACCCATGAATGTCTCAAAATTAAAATCCTGGGGGATCCCTTATTATCATGTTATGCCATCTGTTAGGGAGAAATAGATACTCAAATACAAATTCAAGGAGAGGTCATTGTTTAGCCTCAACCACAAAAGAGATATTCACTTAATTTGACAAAAAGTATATTGGATTGAAATCATATACTGCACCTTTAATGCTAAATACTAAGGTTTGGTCTGACTCACTACCACTACTGACTATAGTGCCTCTTGCATATTGTAACTAGGCCACAACTTTTGGAGCAAGTTTTCCGGAACTGCTTTTACATGTGAAAACATATGACACCTCAAAGAATATTGAAAGAGTAATTCATGTCAACCTGTGTCAAGTTGTTAAGTAATCGCAAATAGACTTGCTTACGTGGTTTCTTGTTTATTTAGTTACTGTTATTTATAAACATGGACAACAGTTTGTAGCATAGCTAAAAACATATGTCATATGTGAATCTTGTCAGTACTTTTGTTGGGGGTTTTACTTCAGTGCTAGTATCCACCACAAAAAACATTCAGCACAGGTTCTTTGGTTAGAAACTGACCTCTGATTAAGGGTTGAAGCAAATCTGGGCCTTAAAGTTAATACAAAAGGAAAATCATAACATATTTTCATTCTCTACTGTGAGATAGCAGAGTGTTTTTACTGGATGAGTGTTTTTGCTCGATTATCTGCTTTGTTTCTGTGAGGTCACGGAAACTAATGTATTTACAGGTAACTTCCACCTTTTCGGCCTTTAACAATTTAGCACTGCCAATTTACACTAAAGTTGTAAGACGTTTTTTAGCCTGGACTGCATTTTGAATGAGGCATAGTACAGAGCTGCCAATGAGAACAGTGAGCACAGTAACAAAAACAGCCTGTTTAATTCTTAAGGATGCAGAGAGATTGGAAAGTAGTAAAAATGTGAAAATGAATTACATCTGCTTGTGGCACATAAAACCCCCACTAATGACATAAGCGGACCTTAAAGAAAAAAGGTAAAATGCAAGACAAATGTGGGATGTGGGCCCTTTAAATAGTATGATATGATGAATCATGCTTATTTTGACTCGAGGTTGACTTTAAATCCCATTCCTGGTTCTGGATTTTGTTATCATTTTGAGAAATGATAGGGGGCCAATAAGTTGCACCAATACTTAAATTAAATGCCCATGGTGCAAATACCAGAAACTGGATTTAAAGTCCATAAAGTGGCCAGTGGGTACATTTGGGCTGTAACAGTGGTGCTGTTAAACTTCTATTTGTTTTGTTTTATCTTTTGCGGTTTATCTTTTGTTATTTATGTTGTTATTATTTCTTACTCTAATACAAAAAAGCAAGCCAAGATTCAAGGCAACTCCCTTATAACCTTTCACATAAAGTTTTTAGAATGTTGTAGCGTTTAGAAGAAATCTCTGAATGACTAACATAAATAATTGAAATAATCTTTCAAATGAAATAATTTTATCTTACCTTGTACTCAATGTGCTCAGATGAGAGTCTCTTGGCCTCCACCATGGCCTGAAGCTCCTCGTACTGAACGGGTTTGTATTTGGCGAGGCCCAGGCCATTCTTCAGTCTCTGGGTCAGCTTCTCTGGACCAGACAGCAGATATACAGCTTTTACACAACATGCACATGGACAAAGACAAAACAACCCTGACTCTTTTTTACAGCTATCTGCCAGTCTCTGCTGTCTTTTACTTTTGGGCAAGTAGTTTAGCCTTGGAATAACAGCACAAACAAAAAGTTACTTTGGGTCATGCTTGTGGTGGCTACATACATGTACATCTTACAAATGAAGGGTGGCTGATCTCATTATAAAAAAGAAATCATCAAAAAATTTCAGCATTTTCTGAGCATATCGCAGATATAATCAGGTCTTAGAAAAACACTGACCGACTGCATGTTTCTTTAAAAAGAGTTTTAGACAGAGCTCCTATGTGGCATGTCTAAGGTTTTGCTCTACTGTCAGGAGCTGTTTGAACCTTGACAACTGCAGGAGAGTTTAATTGGCCCTGCTTAATTGGATGAAGTGATGCGCAGGACATGAGACTTTGAATAACATTTGTTTCTAGGCCTTGCTGTACATCTTAGTCTCACCAAGTGACAGTGGTTGCTGCTAATATCTCTCTGTGTTATGCTCTGAGAAATTGTGTCAACATCAAAATCATACAGCATACACAACACACTGCACCCAAAGTACAACTTAGACGTTCATACTTCATATTAGTACATACCACAAAGGAGATATACAGCATGCACATATCCTCCCTTCTCTCCCCTCTTGGGATGCAGAATGCACAGCACAGAGACATATGTGCTAATTAATTTACTTGTGTATCATGAATTAATTAGTGAGAGAAACAGATATAAATTAAATCGACTCATATGACCTAAAGCAATCGCTTTCCTCCAAATGCTTAAACTAACTCAGCTTCTGTCAGTGTAGAAGGAAGACTATAGAGATCTATTGGACGCTGGCGCTGGTCCTGGAGAACCCTGTTCTGTGCACTGCTGGTCTTCTCTCATCTCTAATTCAACTGAGCCCATATTTATGAAGCTGCTCAGAGTATGAAAATGGGCACTGGTCCAACTAATCAGCTAATTAAAAAGCCTTTTCTGAGTTGAACTTGGTGGAATATTCTGGCTTTTTCTTAATCTAATCTGCAGTTCATTAACCCCTTGCCAAGCCATGGGCCCTAAGTTTTATTACACACTTCTATAACCTGAGGAAAGTTCCATTAGTTTGCATTGAAGTCCCTTTAGTTAATGAATAATAAGCCTTAGTATATAATAAGCCTGGAATGTTAAGGGGTTAACACGCATAATACCCTGAGTAAAAAAACACAAAAATATCGACTTAAAATACACTTACAACAGTGCACATTGGTTCTATAAGTATGTTTTGAGTCAACCTGTTTTCTGTTCTTTTACTAAGCAAGAGAAATGAGATAAACACGTCAAAATTATTGCTTAGTTGCAAGTAATAATTTTAGTCAAGTAACAATTAAGGAGAGTGAATAATCTTCTGTAAATGGCTGAACCCAGTGCCCCCCTTAGTAACAGTAGGCCCGTGTAGGGTGTTGTTATTGTTATTGAGTGTGGCCTACTAGTGTAATGATGTAAACATCCATGGTATGACTTTTCAGTTCTGGCTATGTGTAGGAATTTAGGAGAAATGACACAGATGCTTTAGCCGTTATGAATCAGCAAGTCAAATCCCTTATGAAAATGACATTACACAGCCTTCTCTGGTAAAGCTAATCTAGCTCCAATAATGCTTTACAGCGTGGAAAATACTATGTGAGCTAGTGCAACTAAATGACCAGGACTGAGAACCACTGCATCTGGCAAATCCATACATACATATGAATATATACAGACATGATATATAACATGACATACATGATAAATATGGGAAAATGAGAAGATCTACAGGACTCTAGAAAAAGGAGAATACAGATGATTTAGAGAGAGGCATTGCAGGAAAATAAGAGTAAGTATGGTTGTGTCAGAAAGTCACTCTATCACTCAGCAGCCCCTCAAACAGACGCGCTCTCCGCACCGTGTTACCCCTGACAACAGCAGAATAATCGCAGCACTTTCAAATGGCTCAGCACAGCCGCTTCAGGTCACATTCACTCAAGAGCGTGCTGGTGTGGAATCACCCGCACTCCAATATCATCTTCCCTGCTGAAAAGGGAAAGAGTGCAGCCTAAGAGCTGAAGAGCGGAGGCTTGGCTTACCTGTGTCCTCAGCCCGATGACCCGCTAGAAATGCACGCAGATCTCTCCCACTCATCTCTCACTAACCTGCGAGGAGAAAGCACTCAAACACTAAAAACTGTGTTTAAAGTGATAGTTTGGGGGAAACTCAAATTTTCCCTTTACCCCAGTTGTAGTCAGTGAGGCAACGTGTCTGGTGTGGAAGCTTTGCTTCTTTAGTGTTATACTGGAACTATGAGACAAATGCTGCTAATGTGCTAATGCAATAGAAGCTTATACCTCAACAATCAACATCTTCCTCAAACTGTGGAGAGCTCTTCAGTGGGCAAATATCAGTGAAATCTGTTGCAAAAGCAGACTTACTTTGCTCTGCTTTAAGCTTTAGCTCAGCTATAGCTGCTTTTCTCGCATCTCAGGAAACTTTTCCACGAGTTTCTTGTAAAATGTCTCTTCTCATTCTCCAACTTCTCATTCGAATCGTCCCGTTCCACCTTAAATAGTGCCTAAGGTGCCAGATTGTACTGGTGCGCCATTTAAGGTGGAATGGGAGAATTCAAACGAGAAGCAGGAGAATGAGAAGCAACTTCAGCTTTGCGAGTTGTTGCAGATTAAACGTATCAGGAAACCTGAGTGCTTATAAATGCAAATAAGTCCATTCATCTCCAAATTATCGATGTTCGTCTTAAATCTCTCTCTTTGCCTTTTTGTTATCTGCGTTGCTGTGTGACCAACAGTCTGCGTGTCAGTCTTCAGCGTTAAAGGGTGAATTAGCAGTTATGTGTTAACTCCAGCGTTTAGGACCATTTATTGTCAAAACTGTGTTAGAACTGTGTATTATAATGATTTTACAGCTAATGAGGAATATGATATTTTACCTAAAAATCTAGTTCTGCTGTGGAGCCGCAGCAGCTCTGCAGCAGTGGAGAGATTATTCAGGCCTGATTCTCACCCCAAACAGAGCCAGGGTCACTGATGAGGATTTTGTGGCTAAAGTGCTGCTGAAGTTCAACAAAGGACATGAATGTCGTGTCTGTACATCTTGCTGAAATGTTTGAATTGGAGCAGTTTTATTTCAACAGTTGACAATGCTTTGCACAAAGTTGTTTGGTTTGTATTGGTCATTTTTGTTAATTTTTGATAGGAAAAACCTGGAGATACACAAACATTCTGACAATCATGCTTTGAAAGTAGCTAAAAAGTAGCCACTACTTTGTCTGGGAAAGTAACTAAATTGTAGCTAGCTACAAATTTTGAGAAAGTAGCTACAAAGTAGCTAACTACAAATTTTTCAATAGCTATCCCAACCTAGTCAGGCATGCAGTTTGAACAATGCTACACCGGTGACCATACACTTCTATTACTTGTTGGCTACATTAGCCTCATAGTTCCAGGGCAAAACTAAAGAAGCAAACCTTTTTAACACTAAACATATCTTAGCTGGACTGCATTAACAGTAAGACAAAGATTGTGTAAGTTTAATTTTTCACCAAACCCTCACTTTAATCAAGTGCTTATGCATTCCGAAAGCAACGGCACACGAATGACAGGCAAATTAAAGCGCTGCGACGAGCGGTCAGAGGTTGCAGGATGGAGGTCAGAGTGCCATCCCAAATCCTTTTTCATGTTTGCCGCTGTCGTAATCAGCTTATTTTAAGGGATTAACATTTACATTGAAAAAGTTAATGGGGAGGCAGTTATCTACTGATTCCACACAAGCAGCGTTTTTCATATCCAACCAACGTCAGCACGGGATTATAGAAATTACCTCTGCCTCCGAAGGAAGTGTGACAGGTGGTTAAAAACAACTGAACGGCTCTGAATAGCACGCCACCTCTTCAAGCCGTGATTTGGTGCGTCCTGATTGATGCAGGTAGCTCAGCCACAGGAAACATTCTGCTGAAATAAAGAAATTCTCCGCTGCAGATGACTGCTCATAACATTTATGAAATTTTGCCATTACATCACAATTTGAGCTGAATGTGACAATATGAGCATGATAATAACAAACAGAAGCATCTAATTTTCCTCTAAATGCATTACTGAGGAGCATGTTGCCTCATCTCCCAGTCAAAAACAGACATTAGGTGTTTTCTAACATGGAAATCAATTTTACTTGAAGTAAGAGCTCTGGAGGGAGACAGCGGGAGCACTAATGAATTCATTTGCTGCATTTGATTAGCACTGAGTGGAAGGGATAAGCCATGGCGACATCTCTCTCTCCCTTTCTCTGTCTCTGTCTCTCTCTCTCTCTCTCTCTCCACATTGTACTGAGTTAATGATTTCATTGCTTGTGTGCTTGTGTGTGTGTATGTGTCAGACGCATGTGGTTAGTGGCTAATGATATTCTTTCACTTGGAAGACAGTGAGTGATGACATATGCCACACATATATACAGCTGAGGGTAATTGCTCATTCTGGAAATGGTGTGGGATAATTATTTATGCATTATTCCATACAGAGTGACAGAATGAATATATGCAGTAGACAGCTCTCAAATATTATGCGTGTAAAAAACGATTATGTGGTCCTCAAAGCAACGTTCTCATACATAACCTGTTGAAAAGGTACCTAGAATACTTCCAAAAGATTTCAAATTGAGTTAATCTGTTTCTCCTATAAGAAGCTGGAGTCCCTGCCTACTAATGCATGATTACTCACTATTACAATAAGTGCCCAAACACAGCAGCGTACTTGTGTAACTGCACAATTTGGGAAGCTTTTGGTGTAGATGGTGTAGATTGTGGTATGTGTGATAGATAATGCGCGTTGTCTATAATAAACAATTACTTAAAGTTCATTTTGTGCGCTTTACTCACAGCACCCAGGACCTGATAGTAACTGCAATGTATGTTATTGACTGGATTGTTCATTTTACCACACATTATCTATACCAATATAGAAAAAGGTCATATAGGCTTTAGTGGCACATAGATTTGATTATATTTTATTCTGGAATATAAGTGCTAGCAAGCCGAGTCACTCTTTATGTACATGATCACCTATTTACATGCACTTTACTCACAAGATCCAGGAGCTGATTGTGAACTGCAATGTATTGTGGCTGTATGTTACTTACAGCATTGTTTTAAAAGCACAGTTTAAAATGAAAAACAGTTTAAAGTCATAAAAGATAAAATAAATATTTACAGCTTCCTTTGGTTGACCTTCAGGAGAAGAAACAAAACAAGCCGTCAGATTTGAAAGCTATATAGAGTGTAGAGTAGAAGTTAACTAGCAGTATCACCTCATCTAATATCAGTACCATCTGATATTATTACATTTAATTTGATCAATATCGCCCAGTCTTAATTGTAACACGCGTCATTATCTAGATCGGTATAAAAAAGAGTCGCACAGGCTTAACTGACACATAGATTTGATTACATGTTACACTGGAAAGTAACCGGTAACTAAATTAGTCACTATTTTTAATAAATTGACTCTTGATTACCTTTTTATTTTGCTTTCTGCCGCCATTGAAAAGAACACACAACACTCCGTGTACAAAATGTAACCAAGGAGACTGCTGTCTCTTTTCCATTGGTCTATTTTGCAAAGCTTCCGTCCAATCAAGCGAGCGCTCGCCCTCGCCCCGAACCAATGGCAGCGATCATGATTATGACGTCACGGCCGCTCGTATCGCTCCGGAGTGGGAGCGGAGGGAAGCGGAGCATGGAGCCGAGTTTGGAGCGGCGGAGCTCGGACACCGAAGTGGCTCAGTAAGTCCACCAACCCACGACTTTTTCGCGTGTTCCAGCGGAGCTCCGTGATGCAGAACGTCGACTAGATAAAGAGCGTCCTCCAAAAGGTATGGAGCCACTTTAGTCGCTGTGTTTGAACATGAAGGAGAAGATAGAAGCAGTCTGTGCCGAGTGTAAGTCTGAACTGGCTGTGCTCGTACCGGAGCTCCGTGTGTGTAGTTCAGTGTGTTTAGTGCGAGGCGGCTGCAGTGCGATGCGTCCACTTTGGAAAACTTGTCATTTTTTTGTTTTTTGTTGTTCTTGGCGCGCTGGAGGAGCTTTAATAACAACGACTTAGTCTTTCTTTGGTGAGAGAGAAAATGAGGAGCACCACCACACGCAACCTTTCGAGGACATATGGGATTTGGATTGCTGACTTTGTGCCTGTAGGCTACGCGCTCAGTAACGTAATGCAGTGCTAGTGTAATGGAGGTGACTTCTCCGAGTTGGAGCAGGCGGTACACTCAGCTGGGAACTTTATTCGCTTTTGTTCGCGTCCTTGAGGAGAACTGGCGATTAAAACGTGCTCGATTTCGAATGTATGTCCAGGTGAGCTGCGTGCTGGAATCTGAGGAATGTGAGGTGGACAGAGGAGGCGGGGCTTCTGCTAAATGGGCGGGGCTGGTGTTGTCTGTGTATGTGCTTTCATTATTTCATTATAATGACCACCTCCTTGTTTCTACGCTCGTTGTCCATTTTATCAGCTCCACTTACTATATAGGTGCACTTTGTAGTTCTGCAATTACAGACTGTAGTCCATCTGTTTCTCTGCATACTTTGCCCCCTTTTACCCTGTTCTTTAGTGGTCAGGACCCCCATGGGCCCTCACAGAGCAGGTGCTATTTGGGTGGTGGATCATTCTCAGCACTGCAGTAACACTGACGTGGTGGTGGTGTGTTAGTGTGTGTTGTGCTGGTACGAGTGGATCAGACAGCAGTGCTGCTGGAGTTTTTAAACACTGTGTCCACTCACTGTCCACTCTATTAGACACTCCTACCTTGTCAGTCCACCTTGTAGATGTAAAGTCAGAGATGATAGCTCATCTGCTGTTGTACAGTTTGTGTTGGTCATCCTCTAGTCGTTCATCAGTGGTCACAAGACGCTGCCCACAGGACGCTGTTGGCTGAATATTTAACACACCACCACCATGTCAGTGTTACTGCAGTGCTGAGAATGATCCACCACTCAAATAGTACCTGCTCTGTGAGGGCTCATGGGGGTCCTGACCACTAAAGAACAGGGTAAAAGGGGGCAAACAAAGTATGCAGAGAAACAGATGGACTACAGTCTGTAACTGTAGAACTACAAAGTGCACCTATATAGTAAGTGGAGCTTACAAAGAGGTGGTCATAATGTTATGCCTGATCGGTGTATATTGGTAGTTTATGCTACTGTATGTGTCTTTATATGCAGCAGTTTCCAGCACTTTCCCCATATTTATTAGTGAATTCAGCAACACTCTTAAAAAAATGCTTCTTCAAGGGTTCTGTAGTGGAGGGAATGGTTCTATATGGAACTGTGAGCTCTACATAGAACCATTTCATACTTAAATGTTTCTTGGCATCATGGTGAAATGGTTCTTCAGATTGATGGATAGTGTGTTGTATATGGTTCTATATAAAACCTTTTTGAAAATGGTTCTGTATAGCACCAAAAAGAGTTCTATTATTGTTATGATGTCAAGCTGGTAACAACAGAAGAACCCTTTTTGGTGCTATATAGGACCATTTTCACCATATACAACACATTCTCTATCAATATGAAGAACCATATCCCTAAGCAAAGAAACATTTAAGCGTGAAATGGTTCTACGTAGAGTTCACAGTTCTGTATAGAACCATTCCCTTTACTAAAGAACCCTTGAATCTTTTTAAAGAGTGTGCTTTAATGTGCACCCATTGCTGACATAGGTGTTCAACTGCCCACACAAGGCTGTAATCTCTATAGAACTGCATTACCAATAGAATGGGATGCTCTGAAGTGGCTATACATGAAGTCAACGTTGGTTAGAGGGGTGTGAAGTATAGTGGAACTGCATTCTCTGGAGGGATGAAGCCATTTGGGATGATGTGGAGTGGCATTTGTGATCCAGAGTTAATCCAACATCAGTACCTGACCTCACAAATGCTCGTGCGACTGAATGCAATCAGATCCTCACAGCAATTTTCCAACATCTAGTGTAAAACCTTTTCAAATGAGTAGAAGGTGTCATTGCAGCAAATGGGGGCAAACCGCCTATTAATATCAATGATGTAGCTGGAAGGTTGGATGAACAGATAACGTTAGTATATGTGCGGATTTATGACATTCATGACCAAAGCGATGAGCACCTCTTGCACGTTTGGACAGGACACGAAGACCACATTTCAGAAAGAAAGACTGAAGAAACACTGGATAAGCAGGTGTCTACAAACTTTTGGACATGTACCTTATACGTCTGTGTGAATGCTGTCATCATAGATGATTCGTCTGTACAACTTTATGTACGTGACTGCTGTCATTATAGCTAGATCATTCATTTATTTGACTGCTGTCTACATCGTTGATTCTTTCCCCCCTTTCACATCATGTGCAGTAGAGCAATCCGTCATTCAGATGCAGTGCATGCAAAGCATGGTAGGCCTATTAATTATATTCAAATGCACATAGCAGTTACAGCAGCAACAAAAAAAAGACGCTGTAAGGAAAGGATGTACCCAGCTACCAAATGTGTTGCATATTCCTGCCACACACATATAAAGCTGGAGGTAATTACTGATTCTGTGGGATATTTTTACTGCGTTTTTCTGTGCAGAGTGACAGAGTTGATGTATGCAAAGAGGTTGCTCTTAAGTATTACGGAACATTATGTGGTTCTAACAGCAGCCAGTATTGTATATTCGTGCAGTACCTGTTGAAAATGCATTACTTGTCCAGAATACATTCACGTGCTTCAGAATGAATCAATCTCTTTGGCTGCTATGCCAGGATTCTGAGAGCAGTATTTGGTTGGCTGTCGTTGTATGTAGGCTGTAGAATAGGATGCCTGTCTACTCCAGCCACGTCTTCTTTTTCTGACCTAATTTGTGTCACTGCTGCCCTGCTGCCCTGCGCTGATTTGCACAACTTCAGTCCACAGACATTAAGGCAGCTCAGTTCAGTTTTATATGTATAGCAATTTTGTATAACAGACATTTTGCCGAAGCAGCTGTTCAGAAATGCGGGTCCAGCCACTAATGATCAAGCTGAGGGAGACAGTGGCAGGAGAAACTCACTAAGAGCACGAGGAGGGAGCACTGAGAGGAACCAAGGCTCAAAAGCAGAATTAGGAATGCAGTGATATGGACTTTACCAAGAGCCATTTACAAAAATAAGAAGTATATACAGCAATTTTTGTGCTTTTTTTGGATGGGGAATAGAATCTGATGGTGTTATCCACTATGCTGTCCATTTGTGAGACTTTATACAAAGTGAACCACCACTAATGACATCACGAAAAACAATAGTCGGTTCTAATTATCGATTGTAATTGCAATATCAGACCCAAAATAATACAGAAACATGTGGTGCCCACTGCTCGCCAGCCTTCTGGACCAGTGACCACCATGGAGCTTCTTCTGTGCAAACCTGTGCATGATCTGACCCTCCTGATGATACTGCTGCTGCATAGACTCAAACTATTTAATTATAAACATTACTTCACCTGTTTTTCCCTTTTTCTGTATTTTAACATTGTATACTAATACTATACTAGTTATTTGCTATCCGCTGTCGACCAGAAGAGGATGGGTTCCCCTTTTGAGTCTTGGTTCCTCTCAAAGTTTCTTCCTCTTGCTGTTATGGAGTTTTTCCTCCTACTGTTCGTCATTGACTTGCTCATGGGGGCTCGGATTTTTCTATGAAGCTGCTTTGTGATAAGCCCTGTTGTAAAAAGCGCTATATAAATAAACTTTGATTGACTTTGACTTGAGAAATTTTCCAGTTGATCAGCAAATAATGAATTAACACTTAATACATTATGTACCCCCAAGGAGAGCCCAACACTTTTTAGTGGACATAGCAGGGCAGGTCAGATTAGGCCGTAAAGAAAGGTCTTCGACAGCAGTAGGACTGCACTCAAGGAACAATACATAAGCATTGCACTTATATTGTGTTGTATATGTATTGTATATGTTGTGATGTGACTTGCTGAATCAATAATGCGACTTGGTTAAAAACCAGCCAGCATTATTTTCATTAAGATGGTTTACTTTTGTTGGATTACATGAATCCCTTGATTCATCAGCACCCACCGAAACATTCATCTGGATCTGTGATTGGTCAGGATGCTCACAGCACACAGTAAAAACACTGGGATTGGTTATAAGGCTCATTTGCATATTGCAGCGTTCTGCAATATCAGTATTGGGAAATCCAGTGTTGCAATGACAACTACCAAGCTATGCTGTTGTTCACAACTGCACAGCATGAACAGTTATTACTCATATCTGTTTTTCACACCTGAAATCAAAGCATTTTGCTTTACTCTTCCAATAACTTCCTAGTGTGGGAACGCTAAATATGATGCTGTGAGACTGCAGTGTTTTTTCAGTCTTTGTGTTTTCCTGCACACCTGGTTCAACTTGTGAAGGAGCGGATAAGAAGCTGATGTGTTGAATTGATATCTGGTAGAGTAGCAAAAGCATGAAGCAGTGCTGAGCTCCTGTGGAACTGATGGGGAGTAACACTGCATTAAACTGCCTCATTCACTACAGTCACCCAGCCCTGCGTTGCCATAACGTTTTCCCGGTTCCTTTCTTATTCTAAGA